GCAAGAGGAATCAAATCTCCAAGATGCATTGTTGGATCAATAAAGGAATAAGATCAAGAAGAGAGAACCATTTGAAGTTGTGCAGAGTAAGCAACAAAAATTGTTGGACTGGTATATATCGCCGGGTGACGGCTAGGCGAGGGTCATCGCGTATGCATCGTCGGGCGACGGTGGAGCGAGAAGAGTCAACGTTTTAGTTGAGTCTGCCTTGATTTGATGTTGTGTCGCTGGGCGAGGAAGTGTAGTGTTGTCGGGTGAAGCTTTATGTCATCGGGAAATGAAAGATATTTTCCTCAGTTGTATTTGTGGCGTAACCTGGGCCTAGTGTATTAGAGTTGTTGTCGGGCGACGTGTGTTGTGTCGCCGCACGATAGTCGCGGAACAAATTTTCCTTTATACTTTCATTTTATTTCATTTGTTTGGTTATGGTTTTGGGGGTGGTTTTTATTCTCCCAACTCCATTAGCCTCATTTTTTTAGTGGTTTAACTTAGATAACAACTATGGAGCTTGCATACAGATGATATGGGGTAGATTTTGCTTCAACTGGCTCTGACAATCCAGAAGATTTGTGTTTCATTTCTCTTCTTCTTTATGTATTCTCTTTTGGCTTAGTTTGTATATGTATTTACTTTTATCTTATATATATTTGTCGCCCATGGTGTTATATTTAATCTACTTCACAAATCTTTGTGGATTGTTATCCTTGTTTTTTGCTATATGTTAGGGATTTGGGTTGTTATAGACATATACTGCTCGAGTTCTTATCTTGAATGATTGTCTAATAGTGTCTAGTTTCTAGAGATAGATTAAGTGTTATTATTCACTTAGGGTGTCTATGATTAATGCATCTGCGTTGGTTGTGTTGACTAAGAGATTGTTAACACAAGTGGCACGGGTGACTTCTGTGTTGTTGAGGTGGTTGAGAGATCACTACCGAGGTGATACATTGGGTGTTGTATTTGACACGTGATGACATTGACGAATATTGAGGTTGAGTATAGCTGGTTGATAGGTTTAAGTTTGTGAGGAGTGGATTATATGCGTGCTTGATAAGTTTCTCCTTGGAAGAATGAATTTATTTTCTTGTCAATAGTTTTTACTTTTCTTTACAAACAACCCATTTTTCTCTCAAACTCATTAACAAATAATTTTTCGAACGACAAATCGATACCAATCTATGTGGGCACGCTACTATATAACCTAAATATCACATAGTAAAATTAATATTTTACTTTTTGCTTGCCGCTTTACTGTATCAGCAAAATGGTGTCGTTACCAGGGATTGGTTTATTATTTCACATTGCAATAATTCCTTTGTTTTTGAGTTTTGTAATTAATGTATATGTTGTATAGAAATTGTGCATGAACTTGTTTATGTTTACTTGTGAATTTATTTATTTATGTTTTCCACACATGTACATGTATTCTATACTTGTAAATTTGTTATATCATTGTTGGTTTCCTTTCACGTTTGCTTGTTTATTGGTTAGGAATAACCAGGTGGAAGCAACTTGGAGGAATGTTCTTAAATAACAGGCGTCGAGCTTACAACGTAAAACAAACATGTTTTATTGTTTTTCATTTTGTTAGTTTAGATAGTTGAATGTAATTGTCTAAACAAATTTAACTCGGACTAGTTCTTAAATTTAATATCTTCACTTTTAAATTTGTTTAGACAATTTCATTCGGTCTTTTGGTATGTGTAAATTATTTGTGTTCATATTTGTGTTTGTCTTTGAGTTTGTTGTGTATATCTTGAGGATATTGAGGTGATTTGTCAAGTTTGATCGTGTCGATTCGCAAATTTGTGGTAATTATTTTGTTAAGATTTTGTACACGTTCGAGATATATGTTTATCGCTTTCTATACTTTAGCATATTCATGATACTTAGACTTTTAACAATTTTTATGCCATTCATTCTTTTGTGTACTTGTTCATCATGTAGTCCATAAATATCCTTCACCTAATGACAACTCTTGTGGGAATCAACACATTCTTCCCACTTTCAATTATTTCCATGATCCTTTTAGAAATATATTGAATAGGACTTACCAACACACACATAAAAATATGATAGATGATTCCAACGTCTAATAACTTGATGATCTCCTTTTTCATTACTTCCTTTATGATATGGTTTAATCTTCTTTAGTTTTCTATGTTGTTCTATGTGTTATCCTCCATTAATATTATGTGCATGCAGAAAATAAGATAATTCTCTTGATATCATCTATTTTACAACCCTTGTCATTCTTATGCTTCCTAATAAGTGCCAAAATTTTACACTTTTTTTCTTCTGGCAGATCAGTAACCTGGGCCTAGTGTATTAGAGTTGTTGTCGGGCGACGTGTGTTGTGTCGCCGCATGATGGTCGCAGAACAAATTTTCCTTTATACTTTCATTTTATTTCATTTGTTTGGTTATGGTTTTAGGGGTGCTTTTTATTCTCCCAACTCCATTAACCTCATTTTTGTAGTGGTTTAGCTTAGATAACAACTATGGAGCTTGCATACGGATGATCTGGGGTAGATTTTGCTTCAACTGGCTCTGACAATCCAGAAGATTTGTGATTCATTTCTCTTCTTCTTTGTGTATTCTCTTTTGGCTGGGTTTGTATATGTATTTACTTTGATCTTATGTATATTTATCGCCCATGGCGTTATATTTAATCTGCTTTACAAATCTTTGTGGATTGTTATCCTTGATTTTTTCTCTATGCTAGAGATTTGAGTTGTTATAGACATATACTACTCGATTTCTTATCCTTGATGATTGTCTAATAGTGTCTAGATTCTAGAGATAGATTAAGTGTTATTATTTACTTAGGTTGTCTGTGATTAATGCATCTGTGTTGGTTGTGTTGACTGATAGATTGTTAACACAAGTGGCACGGGTGACTTCTGTGTTGTTGAGGTGGTTGAGAGATCACTATCGAGGTGATGCATTGGGTGTTGTGTTTGATATGTGATGACATTGATAAATATTGTAGGTTGAATATAGTTGGTTGATAGGTTTAAGTTTATGAGAAGTGGATTATATGCATGCTTGATAAGTTTCTCCTTGGAAAAATGAATTTATTTTCTTGTCAATAGTTCTTACTTTTCTTTGCAAACAACCTATTTTTCTCCCAAACTCATTAACAAATGATTTTTCGAACAACAAATTGATACCGATCTCTGTGTACACGATACTATATAACCTAAATATTACCTAGTAAAATTAATACTTTAATTTTTGCTTGTCGCTTTACTGTATCAGCAAAATGGTGTCGTTGCCAGAGATTGGTTTATTATTTCACATCACGATAATTCCTTTGTTTTTGATTTTTGTAATTAATGTATATGTTGTATAGAAATTGTGCATGAACTTGTTTATGTTTACTTGTGGATTCATGTATTTATGTTTTCCACACATGTACATGTATTCTATACTTGTAAATTTATTATATCATTGTTGGTTTCCTTTCACGTTTGCTTGTTTGTTTGTTAGGAATAACCAGGTGGAAGCAACGTGGAGGAACATTATTAAATAACAAGCGTCAGACTTACAACGTAAAACAAATATGTTTTATTGTTTTTCATTTTGTTAGTTTAGGTAGTTGAATATAATTGTCTAAACAAATTTAACTCGGACTGGTTTTTAAATTTTATATCTTCACTTTTGAATTTGTTTAGACAATTTCATTCGGTCTTTTAGAATGTGTAAATTATTTGTTTTCATATTTATGTTTGTCTTTGAGTTTGTTGTGAATATCTTGAGGATATTGAGGTGATTTGTCAAGTTTGATCGTGTCGACTCGCGAATGCGTGATAATGATTTTGTTAAGATTTTATATATGTTCGAGGTATGTATTTATCATTTTTTATACTTTAGCATATTTATGATACTTGACTTTTTATAATTTTTATGCCATTCATTCTTTTATATACTTGTTCATCACGTAGTTCATAAATATCGTTCACTTAATGACAACTCTCGTGGAAATCAACACATTCTTCCCACTTTCAATTATTGCCATCATCTTTTTAGGAACATATTGAATAGGACTTACCAACACACTCATAAAAATATGATAGATGATACCAACGTCTAATACCTTGATGATCTCCTTTTTCATTACTTCTTTCATGATATGGTTTGATTTTCTTTGGTTTTCTATGTTGTTCTATATGTTATCCTCTATTAATATTATGTGCATGCAGAAAATAAGATAATTCTCTTGATATCATCTATTTTATAACCCTTGTCATTCTTATGCTTCCTAATAAGTGCCAAAATTTTACACCTTTTTTCTTCTGGCAGATCAGTAAAAATAATTGCTGGAAACTTTTGTCCTACCTCCAAGTAAGATATTGTAAGTGAGGAGGTAATGACTTCAGCTCAGATTCAAATGGTTTTTATATGGATGGCATATAATCTTTGATCCCCCTCAAATGTTACCTCCAAAATTTCATAGTTTTTCACCCAATTAGTTTTGGATAATGGGAAAAGTGGTATACTTAAAATACATTCTTTCTCCACTTCCTTAGTGTCATGTTCACCCAATTATTTTTCTAACTCATTCTTATCTTTAATAAACTCTTTTTGTATAAAATAATCCCAACAAAGTCTCATCTTCTGAATTTTGAGATTTGTCATGACTTTGATGAGTTTTGGAATCCAATTTTTGTAAACTTTTTTATAGTAAAAGAATAATATGTTGACACTTGTCTGTTTGTCATTTATTTATCTATGTATATGCAATTCTTTTTATATCATTTGATATAAATAAAAAGTATTATTAGAAAACAAAAAAAAAGAAGTTAAATTTATTCTTAACCACAAAACTTAAGATAATAAATCCTCTATATTCTCTTTCTCTATATATAGATTGATTACACCAATTCTGCATATATATACTCTCCCAATTCTTAAAACAATCTTCAACTTGTAATCTACATTCTTTCTTTTCCTCTTCATTTTCAACTTTTTAGATAAGGGAGATATTATTCAACTAAAATGGAAGGCATTACAGGAAATCCTTTACGCCTAAAATCAGTGAATCATATCTCTCTTATCTGCAAATCGTTGGATGAATCTATCAACTTCTACCAAAATATTCTTGGATTCATTCCCATTAGAAGGCCTGGATCATTTGATTTTGAGGGAGCATGGTAATTAATTAATGTCTTTATTTAAATTCATTTGTTACAAGTTTGTTATTTTTATTTTATAGAATTTGAATTTTGCAGGCTATTCGGCTATGGAATTGGAATTCACCTTCTTCAGACAAAGGGTGATGAAAATATTCCAATGAAGAAGGAAATTAATCCAAAAGATACACATATATCATTCCAGGTAAGTTTAATCCAAAAGATACACATGTTATGATGATCACATGACAAAGTGGTTTTATAAAAATTTGATTGTTGTGAGTCGACAGTGTGAAAGCATGGGATTAGTACAGAAATGTTTGGAGGAGATGAAGATTGAGTATGCTTGTGCATTGGTGGAAGAAAATGGAGTTAAAGTTAATCAGTTATTTTTCCATGATCCAGATGGATTCATGATTGAGATATGCAATTGTGATAATCTTCCTATTATTCCATTAGTTGGTGACATGGCTAGATCATGCTCTAGAGTCAATCATGAGAACATGCAACAACAAATACCACAAGTTGTCAACCAAATTTGATCAGGAGGACTTTGAGTCGGGGAATTAGAAAGATAAATTAGGGCATCTCAGAGAATTCAAGATTTAAAACAGCGGTTAATTCTCCTTGTATAGATGAACTCTCTATATGGAGTTACACCTTTATGTATTGCTGTTCTATATATGTATTGTATTTCTTCTCAAATAATATAATGCTATTGTATTTTCTTTGTTAAATCTCGTTGCAAAATCACATTTGCTTTTAATAACCATTAAAACATTGAAATAAATAAAAACGTAGAAAATATAAATACTTTCATATGTGAAAAGTCCAGGAAATATCAACGACGGTTAACGTTATGTTGAGCTCACAAAACATAAACAATGATGCTTACGAGCATTTGACATCGGAGTTCTTAAGTTGTTTGAAAACTTCAGACTTGTTAAATCATTCATTGAAAATAAATATTGGAAGCACAATAATACTACAAGATTGACGGTTACTAGGTTAGCAAATCATGTCATTGAAGCTAAGATTATATTAGATACAAATATAGGAAAAACTATTTATATTTCCAGAATGTCACTATCTTCATCTCAATCTCTTTGGCCATTCAAACTTATTCGAAGACAATTCTCCATCACTGTCTCTTTTGCAATGACAATTAAAAAAATCTCAAGGCCAATCATTAGATTATGTCATTCTATACTTTCCCAAAAATGTATTCAGTCACAGACAACTTTATGTTGCAATTTCTAAAGTTAAAAGTAAACAGGGATTGAAAATCTTAATTCATGAAAAAGACATGTCTCAATTATCTGAAACCACAAATGTAGTCTTCAAAGAAGTTTTCCATAATATTGTCTAGGTAATGTTTCTCATAATTCTCTTTGAAATAACTTTATTTCTCACTTGACATTCTTTTTATTATGAATTCTATGCAAAATTTTAGGTCACCACTTACTACTTTTTTTTTTGGCTTTGCTGCAAAGAATCGTCAATACCCAAGGAACCACAACACCTAGAACAAATAAACAATAATAATAAAACAAATAAAATAAACTAGGTTTAACCCTCTTGAGGATACATCTCCCAAGTGAATTCTCTATTTCTGTTGCGGTGAAAAATCTAGGAGACCAAGCTATTGAGAAACTTGACTCACAAAGACTTAAGAATTCACCACTAAATTTTATTGTTTCTGATCTGACCTGATCAGACTTGGACCGTCACGGCTGGCTCCGAACTGAAAGTTTTAAACGAGGTGGGGGGTACCTGCAAGACACTCCAATGCTCAAGTAAGTAGAAGCACGAGCAGGCAATAGTAAGTATGGGTAGAATGATGAATACCTGACCCTCTGGAAACAGAGGGTATTTATAGCCCCCAGCGTTGGGCCAAGGTTCCTTCCTTGGGCCGGGCAGGTTTGGCCCAATGGAGGAACTGTCAGGTTCTACGTGCGTAGTGGGGACCCGCACGTGGTCCCCTTCCTGGATGTTCTGCGTGAAGTGCGGGCGGACGGAGACGCGGTCTTTTCGGGGTCTCGTTGGGAGTGCAGTGGACTGAGTCTGCCCTAGTTGGGGTGCTCGAGGTGATGTCGAGCTGGACAGTAGGATGTCGAGCTGGAGATGTAGAGGTCGAGCAAATAACCTCAGGGAGCACGTCGGGCACGACTGTGACCCTTTGGTCGACGTGGTCCTTAGCAAGTCCATTTGGATTGGGCCTTAGCAATGCTATTGGGCCTGTCGGGCCCAGTCCAGAACAGGAGCCCCCCAAGTCGTGGTTCCTTTGTTAGGAGCCATGGCTTGATCTCAAGTCGTTTCCGCTTCGGGGTCTCGCGCCCGGGTCAGAGATGCAGGTCCTCGAGGGCCTCTCCGTGTCGTGCTCGGAGGCAAATCTTTTGCAGTGGATGCTCGGAGGATCCTCACCGGCGCATGTCTGTCGAGCACCCGAGGTATCTTTCGGGAACTGTGCCGCCACCCTATGATGATAGGGTCATTATTGCGTTGGGAGCAGTGCGTCGAGGAGAGAAACTCCGTGGTTGCCCGAGGTGACGTTTGGTATTCCACGTCACCACTATAAATAGGATCCTTGGGCCCCATAATTCGTTTCTACTCTTTGCGCTCCTACTGCTGCTGTTCTTCCAGATTTTTCATAGTTGCGATCTCCGTTACAGATTCTTTTCCTCCGTAGCCGAATCCACTTCTTGATTCAAGTAAGTGACTTATCTTCTTTATTTTCCTGTTGTAATGCATGATTTTCAGCGTTGTAGATGTTTTAGGGACTGTGCGCGTGGGACTAGCCCGGTAAACTCATGTTTAGCTCGACATATTCATGCTTAGGACCGACAAACACATGCTCGTGGCCGGTAGATACATAGTTTAGGTAATAATCTGCAGCGCTGCCCGGGGTCTTCATGATCCAGGGCGCCTGATTCATGATCGTGCCCGGTATGTTCATGGTTCTGGCCGTAGGTTGCATGATGTTGCTCGCCATGTTCATACCTTGGGTCGGTATGTTGGAGAGTGGCCGCGTTGTCGGTTTGCGCAGGCGGTTTAGAGAAGGGCCCATCGAGTTATCTGGACGTCGGGGAGGCGACTGATTTCTTGTTGCAAACTAACTTTTGTGGTCGTGCGTGGAACGACGTGGTTTGTCGTACACTACATCCGGTCCGCTATGTCGAGCATATGGTTTCGTGCCCAATTGACTGGTTTCCCGTGCTCTGCAGGTAACCATGGCGGACGAGCCGTGCTCCTCTGGACGCCCCGAACAGGAGGAACAAAGTGCCGATGAGGCGGTGAGTTTGATCGATACTGTCGACGACCCTCTGTTGGATTGGGTGGGTGCCGAACCCCGAGGAATCGCGTTGATATATAGCCGGCGTGACCGAAAACCATATGGTGTCCTTGAGGCGGGCCACGGTCAGCCTGATTTTCAAAAGAATTTTGTTGTTACGCGACCGACCTCCAACGCCCGGATCTGCTTGGTGTACCCCGAGTATAGTTTCCCGATGTACGAGATCGCGTTCAAAGATCTTGGGCTGCAGCTGCCCTTCAGTGATTTTCAGACTGGGGTCTTCGCCCATCTGGGGCTGGCCCCGTCGCAGCTGCACCCGAAATCACTCGCCTTTATCCGGGCGTTTGAGCTGACATGTCGCTTTCTGAGGATTGGGGCGACGATACCTCTCTTCTTCAGAATTTTTCATCTGCAACGCCAGTCCCGAGGAGGGAAGCACAGCTGGGTCTCCTTAAAACAGTCGAGGAGACTATTCAAGATGTACATGGACTCCGTAAGGGGTTTTAAAGACAAGTGGTATGTCGTGAGGCCAGTTACCACGTCTGCTTTAGAATCCCTGTACGAGGAGGAGGCGCCCATAAGCGACGATGACGGGGAGGCGGTTTTAGACAACGATGGGTATCCCGTGATGGCCCGCACAGCCAAGTTCCCTGTGCATTGGATGTTCAGGCATTACGAGCACGGGACTGGATACTATCATACCGCTGCGGGCGACATGTGTTCGGAGGACGAGAAGGCATACGCCACTCTTTGTCGGTTCGTCGACAGCTTCCACCCCGCCCGGTGGGCGACGAGGGAGGGGGAAGATGTCTTGGATGAAGAGGGCTATCCGACATTTGAGTCCCGGCCGATTGATACTAAGGCACTCGTGGAGTGTCAGTCGTTCAGACATGCTGCTCGTCTGCTAGGTCGTTTATTGCTTGAATTTCTTTGCTCGTCATTTATTTATGAACTTGCTCGACACTAACCCATCTTTTATTTTGTGCAGGTTCGATGGCCGGGCGACGGGAAAGACTCTTGAAGCTGTCTTGCGACCAGAAGCGGGGTAGGAGGGTCGTGAAGGCTCCCCAAGCAACGAGGATGGGCCCGCCACATAGTCCGGGCGCTCCTCAGGTGGTGAGGGTGGATTCATCGCCCAGCTCGGGGTCCGCGTCAGACGAGATCCCAGAGGTTCAAGAGGTCGATCCAAATGCCGACCTGATACAAAGAAAGAGGACCCGGGTGGAAAGCGGTCCGACAGTCAGCGAGGACACCAGCGCCGTCAGGTCTTTCGGGTTCCCCCCTTGCTTCAAAGAGGAGGGTTTCTTCGAGAGATTCCCTCTGTCCGTGGTTGCCGATGAGGCTGAGACTATCAAGAGGATGAGTAAGGAGGATCGGAAGAGGCACCTGGCCGCCAGCATGGCCGGGCTGGTGAAAATGGCCGAAATGGCCCTGGTGCTGTCCGAGGAAGGGGGGATCCTGTCCGTATTGAAGAACTTGAGCAGGAGAAAGCGGCTCTCACCTCGAGCTCGCGGAAGTTAAGGACTTCCCTGGAACGCTCCGAGGAGATGTTCTGCGAGCAGGCATCGCTGCTGGCCGCTGAGAGAGAGATGCTGGTCCCGGAGAAAGAAAATTCGGGGAATCTAGCCGAGGAGGGAGAGCTTCTTCATGCAGACAGGGATCGTCTGGAGACCGACATCGGGCGCTTGACCCAACAGATCGAGGACATGAAAGTCGCCATGCTTCCTGCCGAGGACGAGCCGGAGGACATAGCGGCTTTGAAGAGTCGATCGGAGCTGGTCGCCCATATCCGGCTACTCGAGGCAGATTGCGTCGGTGCTCTGGAGGAGGGGTTCGACTCCGCAGTCGGCCAACTTTCCTTGTTAACCCCTGGTTTGGTCACTGAGGGGACGGGCTACACACATCAGATAGTGGATGGCGCGATCATGCCCACGCCTGACTCTCCAGTTGTCGACGCTGATGGTTTCGGGGAAGCCTGATCGTAGGATAGCGGGCCTGCGTGCCTTTGATATTTGTATTTTTTGGGCCTGCGTGCCCGTTGGTTGTACTTTATGAACATCGCCGGCCTTCTTGGTCGGTTTATACTTGTTTGCCTTGTTGCCTTCGGGCATTTTTTTGAATGAATGTTGTTTTACATTTGATCGTTTTCCCGTGCTTGAAATCTTATATATTTGCATAAGATTTAGCCTAAGTTATGGGCCCGAGGAGTGCCCGTAAGTGGTTGTGGTTTAGCGGGCGAGTTTGCCCGCC